ATTATTTAGTTATGTAATTAACTATGGGGTGTATATATAGAGATTGTGTGTGTGATAACCGAATTTAGTGTTACCTAAATTAATTTAAGATTTTAGAAATTAAAGATAAATTGCCTCCATAAGTTCCCACTCAATTTCAACCACCGAAAATAATTAGTATATCACGTAAATAAAATTGAACATAAAAAACATGTCAATGATCGTGTAAAAAGAAATAAGCCGTATGATTTGAAAAACTCGATGTGAATAAAATATGTTCCCGTTTATTTAGTAAGATTTAAAAAAACATGTCAATGATCGTTTAAAAAGAAATAAACCGTATGATTTGAAAAAATCAAGCGGGAATATGAAGCGGGAAAATGAAATTCAATGATCAATTTAGTATATTTTGAAGAAAAACATTACCGCAAACCAAATAGCAAAACACAATAACTCTAGTTTGTCAATCAGATAAATCCGGTTAGATAAATAATTAATTATTTAAATATTATATTAATTATATTTTAAAAATATAGTTAGATAAATGTGGAAAAAAATATTAAAATAATCAGTTTGTTAGGAATGCGATTATATTGAAGTTAACACAAAATGAAATGTACCCAAAAAATCTGGAGATATTTTCCTTTACATATTTGAATTTAAAAATCTAATAACAAAATTTAGATTATATCACATAAGAAAAAAAAAATAATAATAAAGGTCTATTAATATATTTAAAATATAAATTTTAATTTCAAATAAATTAAAAGGCAAGATAACTCAAATTTATTTTCAAAAAGTTATATAGTAATAGATATGAATATATGAATATATATTTTTTTCTTAGCTATATTATATAGTAATAGATATGAATATATATTTTTTTATAACATATAATTAAAATTTTAAATTCATTTATAGTTTAAAATTCTTGTTTAAAAACATGGTGAATATTTTGTATGTTTCTTGTATAGATAAATTACAATGCGAAATATTCAATGCATTAGATAATATTTATATAACACAACATATTAATATTTTAAAATATT